AATGTGTTGTCTTCTCTTTTAGACGTTTATATTCAGAGTTGGGCTTCGAGTATGGACATTTCTTCCATTTCAAAGCATAGCTATTGGAAGTTTGTTTTCACAGTCGGGCTTCTACATTGAACATTTCGGTGGCTTCCAAGCTTTTCTTATGGACGTTTCTTTGGCTTCCGAGTTTTGTTGTTAGACAATTGAATGCTTTTTTTTCTAGTAACTTTTTTTTAACACATGGATATTTTTGTAAATTTATAATTTTTTATTATTTTTTTCGAGCAACAAGTATTAATGTGGAGCGACAAATAGAAATCCTAATATAAGGTGAATAAATGTGATATAGCTTGCCAAAATTTAATGGCATAAAAGACATAAATCAAGGCTTTGACCGGTCATGACGGGGAATTAGGCCTTCGGTTCTCACAATATGAAGAGCCGAGATTTAAATTCCTCATCAAACTAAGCCAAAAAATTCTAATCTTTTGGTACAAAAAATCAAAGACAAGGCCGAAATATTAAGGGAGATGTATTCAATTTCAACTTTTAGAGACTTTTTAAGACATAGAATTATGGTGTATTCAATTAGAACTTTTAAAGACTTCTGAAAAGTTTACCTGTATTCAATTGAAACTTTTAATGACTTATAATGAGTCTCTAAAAGTCTCAGGGTATTCAATTAAAATATTCTGAAAGTCTTTATAAGTCACTCGGTATTCAAAACAGAAAGACTTTGTGAGACTTTTTAAATTTTGAGACTTTTAGAGACTTTTGTAACAAAATTACAAGGGATTAGTCTCAACAGAGATCTTACCAATATTGGTGAGATTTTCTGGACTTATGTGACTCTTTTCACGCTCTCTTACTTTCTTTTTTTTTTCTTTCTAACACGACTTTGTATCTCATATCATTTTCATGCTCTATTATTTACATATTTATTTTGATACCTTGTGTAATTTTTATTTTTCATTACGTAATGTGATCTTTTTATCTTATATATTCTTTATTATGCTTATTTTATGTGTGTATACCTCTCATTTTGCTATCTTGTGAATTTGACTTTTCAAAGATTAATGCTTCCATAGTAGCACTTGCAAATAATTTATTTTGTTCTTTCTTTTTTTTTTGTAAATGTTTAGTTCAAAATATTATAAAAATTATTTTATTTTCAAATAGTTTATTTGTTAATATTGAAATGTTTTGAATATTATTGATAATTTTATAAGATACAATTACTGTTTTTCGGCAATGTTTGTATCTTGTAAAAATATATCCTAATAATATTTTTCTAATATAAGAAAATTATGCAAAAAATATAAAAAATAAAATCAATCAATAATTAAATAAATATATCTTAATTTGGGTTGATTATAAGTGTCGTTATAGCACATATGTCTAACACGTATTTGAGCTTGTACTCTCTTAACAAACAAATATAAGACCCTGCTCGATTCAACACGTTGAACCTGATCGATTTACTCGTTTAATAAATCTAAAATCCTAAACTATTTATTCGTGAATAACTCATTTCGCATAAAAATGAGTTTATTCATAAATCTTTAGAGAATTAATATACACAACATCTTTTTTCATTTATTCTTGTTTATATTACTTATTATGTTACGTTTATTAATATTTTATTCAAACATAATATTATAACTGCAACTATATAAAAGTCTCAATAAGTTTTAGAAAGTCCATTATGAAATTCTTGAAAAGTCACTAATGAAAATTCTCCGAAAGTCTCAAAAAGTCTACCAAAGTCATGAAAGTTCTACAAAGTCCACAAAAGTCATCAAATTTAAAAAGTTTTAAGAAGTCCTTAAAAATCTCAATTGAATACACCCTCCTAAGTAAAACCGAGCCGAAATTTTGACAACAGATTAGGCCTTCGGTTCTCGCAATATGAAGAGCCGAGATTTAATTGTCTTGGAGGCCGGTTTTATGAAAATAAAAGGGACAATAATATGACAAGTCTCGATGGTCAAGGTAAAACAGCTTATGATACAATTGCACTCGAAAACGAAACAAACGATTATTCGCCGACTGACGAAAATAGACATTTTAGAATAATTTCAAGTACACGAGGACATGTACGAAAAATTATTCACCTCCAACTTATTAATTAGACGAGAATATCTAATTAATATTTATAATATTACGAGCGTAGTCAAAATAAACGAACAAGCAAGTAATGCACAAAGAAAGTTAATTAACACAAGCATAGTACACAAGAGAAAATAAAGTAAGATGAAGCACATAAATATGAAAGAGCAAGCAATTAATAAAATAAAATATGATAAACCATGAGAACAAACGGGTGACTACACATGTATCGTATGAATTTGCACTAGTAACAACAATAAATCATGAATACATGGAGATGAATGCAACCGGAGTCTATCCGGAAAAATCATCGGAGAAAGGAAGGCCAACTGGGTCGGAGTGAAACGCACCATGGGCTTTCTCTAGCGACTGGACAACTCACTGGAAGTGAGGGAACTAGGTACCAATTACTTTCAGTTCCTTTTCCCAAATAGGGCTGAGCTCAATAAAATCCTAGAAGGCAAAAATTGGATCTTTGAAAATCAGCACATAGTTCTCAAAGAATGGCAAGAAGGTATCTCTGCAAATCACCCTTGCTTCGATTACCTAACTCTTTGGGTCCAAGCTCATGGTATTCCAATTAACTGGATGAGCACGGAGGTGGGTATCAAACTGGGCAGAGTTTTTTCCAACCTCAAAAATGTCAATATGGCTAAAGCTGGAGGACAAGGAGAAAGAGTGATGAGGCTGCAAGTAGACATAGACCTTAAAGAGCCTCTACCCCGATGGACAAAAATCAGGCTGGGACAGAAAGTAGCAACAAACCAATTCCAATATAAAAAGCTGGTCAGCCTTTGTTTTTACTGTGGAAAGGTAGGTCACTCTGATAAATCATGCTCACAAAAGCAAGAGGATATCAGCAACCACTCCGTTCATGAAGGACAATTTGGAGAATGGATGACAGCAGTAGATGGAGCTATCATTTCTCAAACACCCTCACAAAGCTACCACTCTGAACCAACCGCAGAAGGAGTCCAAACTCAAAACACTAACCAAGCCAGTGGCAAAGAGTCAGATGCATCTAAGCAAACCGCAAGCAAGACTAGAGGATTCACTATGACCAGCAAGAACACCGATGATATGGAAAATAATAACACAGGCATCGAAGGATCCTCTTCTTCCATACCTTTGTCTCAACCCCCCAACAAAGGCAAGGAGATTGTCACTTACAGCCAGCCTACCCCCCAAGGCCAAGATGTTAACCTCTTAGAGCCTGCAGAATCCAATCATAACATGGAGATTGTCTCCCTCCCGGTGTCCACCAACAATGATGATATCATAAAAGAAAAGCAGACTCTAAAATGCTGGAAAAGAGCTCCTAGCAAAATTGGCAGGCTAGCCAGACATCAAGGGGAGACTGCAGCCATCTCTAAACAGTTAAGACAGAAAAGAGCAATTGGTGACTTAACCCTCAATGATACTGAAGAACATCTCACAGATTCTCACTTCCAAAAGAAATTGAAGGCAGCTGATAACAAGGTGGAGGAAGCCAGCCCCAAATGGCTCCTACCCCCTCAATGAGGGCCATGGTGTAGAACTGTAGAGGTCTGGGTAGACCCTCTACAGTCTCCCAAATAAGAGAGATCAAGCTATCTCACCACCCAAACTTTATTTTCTTGTCAGAAATCAAAAAGCAAAAAAA